ATTTTAACTGTGACAAGATGATTGACAGGGCAGTTTACGGTGACAGGATGAGCGCAGCACGCGACAGAGCTGTCCGTTAAAGATGACGTGATACTACGTCCCAAAGCTTGCCTACTCTTTTGTTACACACTCAAAAGTATGTACTTTTACCTCACAAAAAGGGCGTAGTATAAGTAAGCGAATGGGCCGCAGCATTAGTCTAGAGTAGAGTCTAAAACCTAGACTACTAGAATACAAAAAGGAAAATAAATAGAATTTAGGAGAAAATCCTGACTGAATATGTACAAAACAATCACAGTTGAGTCATGAGATTGAACCAAAGTGGTTGCAGCATATAAAACTATAAATGCAATAAAGTCTTTATGAGTACTTATTTCTGAGCGAGAGAGAGAGTTTTAAGAGTTTTTGAGAGTTTTTAGGATGTGATCGACAAAACAAAAGCCCCTTGTTCTCATCCGAACTACTGCACATGTATGAATCCATTTATCTTTCCCTTTGTTATAAATAAGAGCTGTAACACCTGAAGTTGTCCATTAACATCGCCACTCAGCTCAGTGACTACAATATAACGTCATATATCAATAACGCATAAACATTTATCTAATCAGAATACACTGCAGCTTTTAAATAGATACCAAAATTTAACCCCTTGCTAGCATGAATATGTGTAATGTACCTGTACACTCTTAAATAAAAGGTTTTTGCAGTCATGCAATAAAATAAGCATTCTAGCTTCCCCAAATAACTGTTCACTGATCAGTTCTTAAAATAACCATTTTTGGAGAACATTTCAATAGTTTAAAGAACTTTTTGTGGAAAGGAAAGCATCAACATTTTCGTCCTCGCATACTGGATGTTTTTCCCTTTTCAAACCATTCTTTATAAACCCTAGAAATGGTTGTGCGTGAAAATCCCAGTAACTGAGCAGACTGTGAAATACTCAGACCGGCCAAACAACCATGTCACACTCAAAATTGCTTAAATCACCTTTCTTTCCCATTCTGACATTCAGTTTGGAGTTCAGGAGATTTGTCTTGACCAGGACCACACACCCTAAATGCATTGATTTGATGAATTGCAATAATGAGAAATTGAACAGGTGTGTTCCTCATAATCCTTTAGGTGAGTGTGTATATATTCTCATGTGATTCTCATTAAAGAAAGACCCCAGATTAGTTCTTAAAAGTCTCTGAAACTGCTCAGATTTGCCAAGATATTAAAGTCTACAATCAAAAGTCTCAATGAGCTTATTTATTTCTCATTGAATTCTTCCAAAATCAATTGCTGCTTACACATTCACTGTAGGGATATACTATACTCATCAACAAATGTCTTATATGTTTCCATTTTAATTTCTCCTGAGGGCTTTGAGGTGCTGATATGACAATGAGAATAAACACCACCCAGACGTTTTGCGATAGACATAACAACCCAACCACAGGATCTGCACAAACACAACTCGCCTGATGCTGTGTGTGTGTGTGTGTGTGTGTGTGTGTGTGTGAGAGAGAGAGAACACACAGAGGTGTTTTGATTGAGCACTTCTGCAAAACTTATGAAATGTGACGTGTTTGCTCCAGACAGTGATCAAAACTAGACTTACATTTTCTGAAGAAAAAAGTTTTATTTATCAAAATGTGAGCGGCGCTTACCTGAGCATATCTACATATAGCTTATCTGCTTATCTAGCTGTTTGCCAGTGTGTTTTAGTGTGTTTCTATGGTGTTCTGAGTGTTTGCCAGTGCGTTTCTAGTGTTTGCCAGTGTGTTTCTAGGGTGTTCTGAGTGTTTGCCAGTGCGTTTTAGTGTGTTTGCCAGTGTGTTTCTAGGGTGTTCAGGGTGGTTAGCCCAGTGTGTTTCTAGTGTGTTCTTGGTGTTTTGTCAGTGATTAATCACAGGTCAAAACAGTCCCTCCTTAAGTCTCTGTGATAATCTGGTCAATAGAAACAGCTCAGGATCCTCCTTCAATGTGAGTCTGTGCAATTTGCCAGTGTGTAGAATACTTCTCCTAAAATCACATTATTTGAAAACTCCAAAGCAATCAAACCATTTAGCCATAAAGTGTGAGTGTGTGTGAAAGAGAAAGAGAGAGAGAGAGAGAGAGAGAGAGAGAGAGAGAGAGAGAGAGAGAGAGAGAGAGAGAGAGAGAGAGAGAGAGAGGCCTGCTGGAAAAAGTGTCTTGGTGTTGGGGAAGGGGGTCTTTTCTACAAACAGAAGGCGGTGGTTTCAAGTTCCACCTCCGGAACAAAGTCCCTCATCTCACACACACACACACACACACAGACCACTAACCTCTTGGCTCTCTGGAGTATAAAGGTTATTAGAGCGACTCTCACCTCAGCTAAACTCTCTGATTTCAAGCATTTACTTTCTTCCGACAGGGAGATTTTTCCTTCTTGGCAGAAACGGGACAGAGCGATGGAGTGAGATTAGACTCGTAATGTGACCAGAGTTGTGAGCGTTCACACCCTGTAATATATAAACTTAAACTTTTGACTGAATAAACACACCTGGAAACTTAATTTGTGTACTCAGCGCAAGTTACATTATATATAACATATTTAATTATTTTTAATACACTTCAAAAGTTTGGGATCATTCATATTTTTATATAGACAGAAATTAATACTTTTATTCAGCAAGGATGCATTAAACTGATCAAAAGTTACAAAAGGGATAATAATGCTAAACAGTGTTTTTGAAAATTGATTTCAACACTGATAATAATCAATGAGCATCAAATCATCATATTAGAATGATTTCTGAAGGATCTGCCCAGTCTAATGATGCTGAAAATTCAGAAATGTATCACAGGAATAAATAATATTTTAACAATATATTTAAATTTGCAATAATATTTCACAATATTACTGTTTTTACTGTATTTTGATCATATAAATGCAGGCTTGGTGAGTAGAAGAGATTGAAAAACAATAATAAAAACCAATAATATCACAGCCAAATATGACGAGCCAATCAAATCAAGTCCCACACTACATCATTTCCTGTCGAATGCGTTATTTCACTTGAAAATATGCTTTTATGAAGCTTTTCTTTTCATTTTAAATGCGTTTATTCAAAAATGCCCCTCATTCCTTTCTGTAAAACCTGAAGTTACTAAGCGGACCTTTAAATGCCATTTCACACGGACTCTCCGACTGAAGCCCATGAATGACGGAACGACTGTCTGTCACCTGATCATCAAACGCTTTGACCTCAGCTGACCTGCTGACCTTTTAACAGCCCTACATCCCATTCAGTGCCTCAATAAGCCACGCCCACAGCTTTATGCCTACTTTCACTGTGTAGTGAACACACACACAATGAATCTAAGTGTGTGTGTGTGTGTGTGAAGCTAATTAACCAAGATGAAACACAGCACACACACACAAAGGCATGAGGTTCCTGTAGGACAGATGTACAGGCCTGTTGCTCGGCAACAGAAGCTCTGTCTCCATCAACAACTCCCGTCACCCTTTTCAAGCACCTGTCAATCAAACGAACATTCCAGAGTGTGTGAGAGTCTTTCAGAGTCACAGGATCGGTCCTGTGTGACCCAACAGAGCCACAACTGTGTGTTCGGCTGGACATAACCAATGATATTCTGTTGAGCGTCTGTTGCAGATCACAGCAATCCCACAAAAACAAGTCCAGCTCATATATGTCAAAACAATTATATTTTACTTCAACATAAGAATCCTATAGCATGTGATTCTCATTTTTCTCACTGATGAATCCTGTTATTTTAATATGAATGAAAACTATTTTATTTACGTTTTTTAATCTAAATCAGCAGAAATGAAAGGCAATTAAAGTACAACAAATATTAAAATGACGTATACATTTTTAATATTTTTTTCTCATTTCATTAATAATGTTGCAGTGAGGCTTCATTTTTTGTGTGTATATATATAATATATAATATATATTTTGTGTGTGTATATGTGTATATATATATATATATATATATATATAAATATTTTAAAGAAGCCTATTTTTGCATTGCAACATTATTACTGCAAAGCGAAAAAAATGTTTTAATTATAATCATATATCCTGACTTCATCATGTAATTCTCCCATTAAGGCTTCTTATGTCTTCTATAGAGCTGCTTTGAATCAGGTCTTATTATGTAAAGCACTATACAAATAAACCTGACTATCAACTAAAGTTCAATTGTGATACTCTGATTTAAATTCTTCGTCCAAAGCAAAGCTGTGTCCATTTGAGTAAATTAAGAAGAGAAATGCAAACACTATTAAAAACAGATTCCCATCACTCACAGATCTGCCACATCACAGCTGTTTCTGATCAATTCATACTTGAGTCCTTCATTTCTTCACAACACAAACACACAACCTTCATAAACCTCAGCTTCTGTTCGTGTATCTTCATCAAACCAGCATAACACTTTGAAACAACAGCATGCATTTCATGCATTTATCTCATACAGGATCGCTGAATAGTGTATGATGCTCAATAGACTTTCTAATGTTGATCATTTCAACTTTCACTCAAATTCCAACTTGATAACTCAAATTTGATGATATAATTTGTAATAAAAAAATAGATTAAATTATAAAAAACTACAATTTACTATAAAGACTATGAACTGTAGGCTATATTAAGATGATGACATGTAACAACAGTGTGTAACCCTGTGAGCGCGCGCGCGCACGTGCAGGTTCTCTTTGATCGCGTGGCTCACGGAAGTTCCCGCGAAAGAATTTAAACTACACTCTGTTTCACATATTTACACACGAGGATGAAATAAACGCGCTCATGTGGCATTGACACCTCAAAAACGCATTCAACGAAAAAAATAAAGCTGGAAAGTTTTCAAAACACAATCCTGAGAGGATTTGACTAAACGCGTGTGAATTTATTCAAATTTAAAGGGCTAAATAGGCTACATATAGTCCTATCATAAACTGTGCATACGCAAACTTATTGTAGGATGATGATGGTGCGTGATGATGATGATGATGAGGATGATGATACCTGAGAACTCCTGTGAAGTCTTAGTGAAGCCAGTCAGACACGAGATTCCCAACAACAGCAGTGAATATGAGACATCAGGGAAAAACATCCTTAAATGTCCCATCAGATCCGATGATTCCTGATGATCAGACTGCAGGACATGAAGAGATGTCTGATTCCATGACTTCAGTCTGGAGACACAAGTCTGACGAAGAAGACCTGAGAGAGAGAGAGAGAGAGAGAGAGAGAGAGAGAGAGAGAGAGAGAGAGAGTGAGAGAGAGTGAGAGAGAGAGAGAGAGAGAGAGAGAGAGAGAGAGAGAGAGGCAGAATTCCCCCTGGTCCCAAAGTCCCTGAATTTATGCTCACTGCCATAGATAAGACCCTCATTCATGGTCTGGAATCGTTTAAAGCCCTTTGAACAGTTTGCACTGAAACTGTCTTTTGGACCTTGAGCTGTTTGGTTCCCATTGAAGTCCATTATATGGAGAAAATCCTGTAATGTTTTCATCAAAAACCTTAATTTCTTTTCGACTGAAGAAAGAATGACATGGACATCTTGGATAAATTATCAGCAAAAGTTTTTTTTTTAAAAGTGAACTACTCTTTTAACCTACGACAGGGGTTGGACATTGAAACTGAAACACATGGTTTTACACCACAATCATATCAATATGTTGTACAGCCTCGTTTTGTGGCCAATAGAGCATCAGTTCATCTTGGGAATGACAGATACAGTCCTTCACAGCATCCAGAGGGATTCTGAGCCGTTCCTCTTCCAGAACAGTGTCCGGGTCACTATGCCAAGCTGGAGGAGGAAAGCGTTTTCTGACTCGCTCCTCCAAAATACCCCAAACATATTTAGATGTGGTGCAGGGCATGTGAGATGTTCAACTTCACTTTCATGTTCATCAATACACTGTGTGTATTATCATGCTGAAACACACCACCTCCTTCAAGGTACAATGTTTGAGGCATTTATTGCACACAGTCCTCTGGAACGGTTCTGTAGTTCTTGGCAGTGACACAGTCGGGATTTGGGAATATCAAGATATTGTAGTTCAAACCATCACTGATCCACTGAGTGTCGCTTCCTGGACCTTTTTGATAAAGTGCTGCCAACTTGTTATGAAGGTCATTTTACAAAGCGGAGGCCATTTGTAAATCATTTCTCCTCTCCTCTCCTTCACCACTGAGTTCTACCTTTTAAAGTAATGGATTTTCCATGGCATGTCATCTCCACCTATATTCGAACAGGTATACATTATTTTATCTTACCGAAACAATGTTTAACACTTAGTGCACGTTTGATAGAATGCATGAAATCACCTTATTAAACTTAGTTTTTCAAGACTTTGAAGATTCAAAGGTCATGTAAAGTAAATAAAGCAGATGTGTTTATGGTCTTTATCGTGAAAATCTCTTGATGTTTCTCCAAACCTGTAGAGACATCTGTTGGTCAATATGAGGAATTGCATAAATTCATGATTCTATTAGCATTCATTTAAAACGATTTTTTAAAACAATATATGAAGAGTTCAAATGCAAAAGCCTCTAAATGCCATTTGAAATTTTCTTCTTTAATGATGATTTTTATCAATCTTGTATATTTAAGTTCAGTAATTTCACTTAAATAACAATTAATAGGTAATTATCATTGCCATTTAAGTGAAATTACTGAACTTAAATATACAAGTTTGATAAAAATCATCATTAAAGAGGAAAATTTCAAATGGCATTTAGAGGCTTTTGCATCTGAACTCTTCATATCTTAATCGCTAGTCCTTTGTAAGAAGGGGCCTCAACTCCGTCAACAAATAAAAACGTCATATCATCAGTTTAGCGACAGCGCATTTACTTCACTGCCATTTTTACTGGTAATAGGGTTCATTACAATTATGGTCATTTTTTTGGCCATTCGTGTATCTGGGGCTCCCGGGGGCCCACGAGGCTGAGGGCGCTCTCTTTCGAAAGGTCTCGGCCCGTTCTCCACTCGATAAAATGTTGCCGTCGATACCCAGATAGCAAACTGAAATTGAATCAACGTGGAAATATGACATCGAAACAACGTTGATCTGACATTGTTTTGCTCATCGAATTAACGTTGAACCAACGTCAGACGCGTCATTCTTTCAAAACTAACGGAAAATCAACTTGAAATCAACGCGTTGTTTCAACGTTATGAAAGCAAACCAATTTTCGATTTTCATTTAGCTTTGAAGAATGCCGCGTCTGACGTTGGTTCAACGTTAATTCGATGAGCAAAATCAACGTTGTTTCAATGTCATGAGAGACGTTGTTTCCACGTTGATTCAATGTCAGTTTGCTATCTGGGTACGTTGAGTTTTCGCCAAGATATTTGCGTTTTTCACTTCTGGGGGGCTTTGGGGGCCTGTATCTCAGGCCCCCGGGGGCCCACCAGGCTGAGGGCGGTCTCTTTCGAAAGGCCCGTTCTCCACTCGATAAAATTTTGGCGTCGATACGTTGAGTTTTCGCCGAGATATTTGCGATTTTCTCCCGAGCTTGTGACGTCATTAACAGAGCACGGTCGACGGTTTCGGCTAATATGTCCGTGAATACTCCACCAAAAATGACGAAACGCATATGGTTTTGTTCAGTTCGAAGGAGCCCGTGAAGAATACGTTGTTTTCGCAGAGATATTTGCGTTTTTCGCTTCCGGAAACGTATCTTCACAAAAGTTCACAATGCATCTGCAGATGCAATATAATAATGTAGGCAATTGAATAAACAGATTTTTGTCAGGTTAGATACTGATAATTAATCACTTAGACCCTTTTGTATAAACTTCTCTACATAACCCGGACTCGAGCGTCCTCCATGTCTGTAGTTTAACACCTTTTCGCGTTTGTAGTTCTTACCAAATCCTCTCCAACGCGCGATTGGTTGTGAACAATATCAACCGTTAAGAGTCTATGGCTGTGTCTGAATCTCCACTCAAACCACTACTCCCTACCCCCTATGTAGGGGGTAGGGAGTAGGGGACTATATACCCAGACAGCAAACTGACATTGAATCAACGTGGAAACGACGTCTCTCATGACATTGAAACAACGTTGATTTTGCTCATCGAATTAACGTTGAACCAACGTCAGACGCGGCATTCTTCAAAGCTAAATGAAAATCGAAAATTGGTTTGCTTTCATAACGTTGAAACAACGCGTTGATTTCAAGTTGATTTTCCGTTAGTTTTGAAAGAATGACGCGTCTGACGTTGGTTCAACGTTAATTCGATGAGCAAAACAATGTCAGATCAACGTTGTTTCGATGTCATATTTCCACGTTGATTCAATGTCAGTTTGCTATCTGGGTAGTGAGCTCACCAGCATAAATAGAAACACCACTTTCGGACCATAGTTTCGGACACTACTCGATCGTCTCTCGGCGCGTTGATTACGTCATTGCTGTCACACTATTTAAATGCGTGCGTGCTTACAAACAATTTAAACATGTCTGACAAAATTGTAAAACTACTACATATCATAAGTTAAACAAGACAGAACAAAACTTACATTTGCATGACAAATTTGTATTGTCGCGCTGCTCTCCTTGTCATCCGTCGTTTTTACGATCAGCGCAATGCATGCATGTAGGGCTTGGGTTAGTGACCATTGGTTGTACAATACTTTTCAAAATGCATTCTGGGATACATTGAGTGGACTATATAGGGTATAATCATCACTATACATTCGGACAGCACTACAAAATGGCTAGCTCACTATATAGTCCACTATATAGCGAGTAGTGGGAGATTTCGGACACAGCCTTCGGTTAGAGTGTGCATCGATCTCCACTTTGGATTCTGACCAGATATAGTAGACCATCCGGGTCTCTTTGGTACACTCATTTCAACATACTACGATTTGGGACGTACTAATTCTATTTTCGAATACTATTTAGGACGGATAGTATGCGAATTGGGACGCAGCATGTCTCTTTAGTACTCAAGCAATGGTGTTGACATGACTTTGCACATGGTTTGTTTTCAAGCACATTAAAAACACCACAATAAATATTTCTTTTTTAAAGGTTATATTCCATTCAGCAACTTAAAAAATAAACAATAAATATTCAGTGGGGTAAAAAAAAAAAAAAATTAAAATGTACTCACCTGTGGTTTGGTTTTGTCTTCTTGTGATGAGCTTTCACACAAACAGACCACAGGACACAGTGCTGCCATCTCAGATGTATTTAATAAATTAAAACAAGGTACAAAAAAAACTAATGTACATTTGACTCCTCTGTCTCTCCCTTCTGTTCTCACTCTGTGACTCACTAGTAAACGAACACGATAGAACAGTCAGCCCTCATCCACTGATTACGACACATTCTGGGCCCGTATGTAACGCAACACACATGCTACATGTCGGCAAGCAGCAGCCGGGCGAAACGAGAAAGAGACAAGCAGTACCTGTTCAATTACTTGAGTGCACTCAATTGTTTGATTTGTGTGCATGTACCAACCAAATTTAAAGGGACAGTTCACCCAAAAAATAATTGATGCACCCTTGTGTCATTTTTAAACATGTTTGACTATATTTCTTCAATCAAACACAAAAGGAGAATTTTTAAAGAAAGAAATCATACTAGTTTAGAACAACATTAGGGTGGGTAAATAAGCCAATTTTTTGAGTGAACTATCATCTTTGCGGATCTCTCTTTCTCACCGTGTAACACCCAGTCTCTACTAGTCCCCAAATATGCTGCTGACCTCATATATATATATATATATATGTATATCAAAAACAATCATAATCATTTTATCAAAAAACGTCCACAACATTTTGGCAGAATTGAGTGTGAGGAGGGGTTAGACAGACAGATATAGAGGATAGATATAAAGCCACAGAGAAAAAAACAAGTCTGTATTGGTCCCTCTCTCTGTTAGCAGCACACGGACTCGTCACCCCACGGTTCACTAGATTATTATGTGCATTTATATATATTTTAATATATATATGCGTGTATATATATATATGTATGCTTTTTATTTCTCCAAAATAAAAAATAAAAAACATTTACCTAACACTATTTCTTAGTTCAAACGGATGCAAATCATCACAAGGAAAACAGCCCGAGAGCCACGGAAGATCGAACGTGGGGGAATCAAATCCAGCGAACATGCCGTGAGATGCGGGGAGCGGAGATGTCGACTGTTCGGATCGCCCTACGGAGACCCCAAAATCCAATGGGAGAGTGGTTGAAAGAGAGAGAGAGAGAGAGAGAAGGACGAGTTGGAGGAAGATCCCGACTCTCAGACTGTCAGTATCATTCATGTCGCAGTGAGGGCTTCTGGGAATTGTACATTTTGGGTTTCCTCACACCGTGTCTCAGTAATCTGCGGCGTACTCGGTCCCGTGAAGGCCACGGCACACTAGGGTGAACTCCTTCACGATGTCTTTCACTCGCCGCTTGTTCACTCGCTCCCTGAGAAGATATGAAGAAAACGTTTCTCAAGCTCAGGTGACGATACTGGGACGTGCGCATGAAAACATTTGAACTGAAGATGACCTCAAAACGCCTTGCAAACAATTCAATTCACATTTGTATAGCGCTTTTCACAATACACATCGTTTCAAAGCAGCTGTCCAGAAAAAGTCCACATTACAATTTAGAGTGATCTGTTATCAGAGGTAACTTTAGAAATGCAAATATATAAAATTACAGTTTGCGAATTTTTTAAAAATGTAAACAATGTAATAAAAACAGAAACAATGAGCTCATTGAAGCAATGAATACTCGTTTGTAAACAAATGATTGACATTTAGAAAAATGTAGCATTGGTGAATGTTGAATTTAAATTAATATTCAAGCAAACATTTTAAAAAGGAGTGTGTTTAGCTTGTATACCAGAATGGTATTTGCTAGGGATGCACCGGAATGAAAATTCTTGGCCGAAGCCGAATAATAATGAATAGGGTTGGGTATCGAGAATCGAGTATCGATTGGAACCGAGACTAACTTTTCGTTTTTCCCGGAATCGTTCAAAAGTTAAAATTTCGATTCCTAGTTTCGATATTCACAGTCCGCCGACCGGAAGAAGAAACCGCTGAACAACACCAAAGAAGAAGCGTCTACCGGAAGTGTTGGCATAACCGCGCGAGTCGAACATGAGTAGCTTACGTCGACGATCCAAAGTGTGGCTTCACTTTTCTAAAAATAACGAAATCTCGGCAAAATGCAAAATTTGTGACAAAAGGAGTATTTTTACAGAAGGAGTATTTCCTTCAGAAAGGCCGTTGGTTAGCAAGGTTAGCTAAACTTTTTTGACCCTGCCTCTTAAAAGAATCGGAATCGAGAATCGTTAGGAACCGGAATCGAAACAAGGAATCAGAATCGGAATCAGAATCAAATTCAAATTCAAACGATACCCAACCCTAATAATGAAACGCTTGGCCGAAGACCGAACATGGTGTTTCACATTTTTTTTCTTCCATTTTTGACAATTTTTTTAAATAGTAAAAATGTGTGTTTTTTTTTAAACTATTTTGTCATGCTTTTCAGAAAAAATAAATAAATACAATTAAAAAAATATATATATATATATATATTTATTTAACACTGAACATTTCTAAGGGTTCCAGCAGATATACAAACAAAGCACAATATAACTTCTATAAATGTACTAAATAAAAATATTAAATAAAATGTATTTGGCCATCTTTAAAGCCCCCCTTCTTGAATAGCCTATGTTAGGCAAATAACTAACTGCTGTAGTAGTTAGTTATTTGCCTAACATAGGCAAGTAGTTGTACCTCAACAAAAAGTGGTGAAATCAAGCTTTTACCAGATTCGTACCCTGGCAAAAATTAAGTCTATACTCTCAGTCTCGAATTTAGAAAAAGCTATACATGCTTTTATTTCTACCAGACTGGACTATTGTAATTCAATTTATATGGGGATCAGTGAGTCACCCATCAATCGCCTCCAAATAGTCCAGAATGCCGCTGCAAGAGTTCTGACAGGAACTCGAAAACGAGAACACATAACTCCTGTCCTCAAGTCTCTGCACTGGTTACCAGTGCGCCATAGAATTACTTTTAAAGTTTTATTATTAGTATACAAGTCGCTAAATGGGATGGCTCCATCATACCTCACAGACCTAGGTCGGCGAACCTAGGCCTTCTGGTGGCTCCGAGAACAAAACTGAAGACTAGAGGAGACAGGTCTTTCTCTAGTGCCGCTCCTAGATGCGTGCCGCACCAACCCTACGCATCTTTAAAGTGAGATTAAAGTCGTTTTTATTTGACCTGTCGTATGCAAACTAAATGTGGGAGCAATTGCCCTGTGGCTGTTTTTATTTTAATTTAAATTTTTCCCTGTGTACAGCACTTTGGTCAACAGAAGTTGTGTTTATCTGTGCTCTATAAATAAATTGAAATTGAAACAAAAAGTGCATTGAAATGTACAAAAATGTGGATGAACCCACAACAAATGAATAACTGTCCTAGACATAAGCCCACTTCTTCAGAAAAAGTGGCAGGTTCGCAACTTTTTCCCCACATCCAAGTAATGACCTTTATATCGTGGATCAAGTACAGTCGCGATACAGTACAGGGGTTCTGAGTCCGCCTGACTAAATAGTGTGCTGGCAGCCTCTAAGAGCGCACTTTCACTCCGTGGTCTGTTTAAGAGTCCCTTTAGTGCTGCAAGTAATGGTATAACGTCTGCCACAGATGCATCAGATGAGCTTATTAGGGCCCAAGCCCTGAAAGGGCGAAGGCCCTATTGTTTTCCTAAGGATTATTTATTAGGGCCCAAGCCCTGAAAGGGCGAAGGCCCTATTGTTTTCCTTCCGATTATTATTTTTTTTTTTTTTTTCTTTTATTTTTCTAACGACTATTCGGGCACTTTTGGGGCCCTTAACATGCTCGAAAACTCTTGAAACTTTGCACACGGGTCAGAACCCGCGGCCATCAGGGCCGGGCTGAAGCTGGTACCCGGGCGTGGCAGGGGGGCTCGACAGCGCCCCCTGGAACGGGGTCCGAACACTTGGTCCATAAATCAAACACGCTTGCATGTAATAATATGAAACTCGGTACACATGTTGATCTCATCGTTTCATCTATACGTCGCGCTTTTACTTTTTACCCCAGCCCAACAGGAAGCCGGCTATTTAGGGTTGTTCGTAAAACACTCGCAATGGAATTTTTAATACTCCTCCTAGAGCTTTGATCCAAATTCGACGAAACTCGGTCAGCGTGAAGTCAAGACATTGAGGATGAAAGTTTGCGAGGGGATTTTTGATATCTCGAACGGTTTGGCCGTGGCGAGGAAACAAAATTATGGCGAGAAACGTGAAACAGGAAGTGTATCATAACTTCAGCACACATCAACCGATCTTGATGAAACTTCAGCAGTGTGTTCGCTGTAAGAGGACGATCACATGGATGTGACTATTGTGAGTCAAAGTTATAGCGCCACCAACTGGCAGCAGGAAGTGTGTCACTTTCAAAATGCTTTGAAATCACCCTCTAATTTTAACTCGATTTGCTTCAAACTTCATCTGTATAATGCAAATACATGGCAGATGAAGACCTGTAAATGGATTCTTGATATCTTTGAAACTGTTGCCGTGGCAACGCATCAAACTTTACCATTCTTTTAGGATGCTTTTGAGACTCTTAGCATGCTTTAAATTGCATGAAACTCGACAGACACATCACATTTATTAGCCAGTAGACATGTGCAAAGTTTCAGAAACGGGCGTGGTGAGGGCTCAGTAGCGCCACCTTTTGACAAAAGTGGGGTTGTTAGTTTTATCTACAGTTACAAAAATCGGTATGTATATTGTACTCCTCGAGCCGGACAACTTTCTAATTGACACTCATTAGCTAGGACCCACACAAAGTCAGATATGTTTGTTTGAATGTAGAGAAAATCTCAGAATTTTGCCAGTGTCTCAGTGTCCCTCTGTGTGAGTGAGAGGAGGGGGGCTTGTCAGGTTAATTTTAACCCTTTATTTGCTGTGTGCAACTTCTCTGGCATTTTCGGGGGCCTTAACATCCTCGAAAACTCTTGAAACTTTGCACACGGGTCAGAACCCATGGCCATCAGGGCCGGGCTGAAGCTGGTAACCGGGCGTGGCAGGGCGGCTCGACAGCGCCCCCTGGACTGGGATTCGAACATTTGTCCATAGATCAAACACACTTGCATGAATTAATATGAAACTCGGTACAATTATAGATCACATCAGGCCAAACAACTTTCGTGCTCTAAGTTTTATGACAGTTCAAATGGAAGTTATTTATGAATTATATATTATGGGTTGTTTGAATAATTGTCCTAGGAGAAATACATCAAATTACAATGCATGTGTTTACCAATCACAACCAAACTCGGTGTGCATGAAGTCAAGACATTGAGGATGCTCAATTCCGGACGGATTTTTGATATCTCGAACGGTCTGGCCGTGGCGAGGAAATGAATTTTATGACTAAAAAAGGACACATAAAGTGTGTTATAACTTTGCTCAATTTACCTACAGTTACAAAACTTACCACGTATATTGTTCTCGTCAAGCCGATCAACTTTCCAATTTAAAGTCATTCGCTCTGAGCAACAGAAAGTCAGATATTGTAGTTTGAATGGATTTATTTCCCCTGCGATTCTCTCTCTCTCTCTCTCTCTCTCTCTCTCTCTCTCTCTCTCTCTGTTGTGTGTGTGTGTGTGTGGGGTGTGTGTGTGTGTGGGGGGAGGGGAGGGCTGTTGTCTGTGTTTATGTGTGTGTGTGTGTGGCTGGCTGTGATTTTTCCTACAAGTCCTTGTCTCTAAGTCCTTGTCTTTTTGCATAACAATTTTGCATAACAATATTTTTAAATGACAAAATAGGCATATAACCCCCATCTTTTAAATGTATATTGCTTTAAATAAAAGTAAGATTGTATTTGTAATTGAAGTTGAATGAATTTAAAATTCATGTGCTATATTTCAATATATTTGTTTTCCTTAAGATTTTAAAACACTAACTTCATTCTTATCTGAATTACAAATATTTGTTTCTGTATAAAATAATACTCTGACTAAAAACACATTTGATGTTTTTTTTTTTTTGGTATTTTATTACATGTATTTTGTGTGTGGTGTGTGTGTGTGTGTGTGTATAAAGTGCAGGTTTTTTTAGATAAAGTAGAATTTCTATAACTATGTGTTGAACTAATAAATCACTCTTGTGTGTGTTAAACACAATCTACTTAATACAGACAACTTCATTATAAAGATAAATAACAAATCCAAAAAATATATGATTATAATCTATGACAAAAAAAGCCATTACAAACTATATTAATGGAAAATACACATTGCTCTTTGTATTGTTGTAAAATATTCATGAAAAAACAAGATAACAAAAATCAAAAAGATAAATTATTTTAGATATAGCCATGTTTTAAATGTATAGCAGAGATGTTAATTGAGGCAGCAACATA